AGCTTGTCTCAAAATAGAGCATCGATTTAGATTTAGACTTTCTTGAACACAAATTGAACGTGAAGACACTAAATTAAGTTATGCCGTTGCCTCTCACATTTTAATGAGTTCAGCTGAGGTAACCACCCAAGTACATAGGTTTCTGCGTCCTGTCTTGTTGCCTGTCTCTTATCGTTCCTATAATGGCACTTTCAGCCTTTGTTAAAATGTAACAGCACCAGAAGCATTTGTAATCAGTGATTACACTCTCTCAGGTCAGGATGGCTCACTTCATTTGAAGTTAGATGTTCCGGAGGACTAATGCAGCTTTGTGAACGCCTTTGTTGCAGTCTAATAACAGAGCGGTGAGAGTCAGAAACTCCATCTACTGAGAACTTTTATTGGTTCCTTTTTTAACAGAGTCCATTCAGCCTCTCTCTAAGGGATGTTGGGGCGTAGGAGTACATTTGGCTCTGTGCGCATACTTTTATTGCAATGCAGAGATCTCTCCGCTGTAAGAGAACAAAGGGTCTTCTACACTAAGCTTACACGGCTGTGGGCTCTGACCAAAATAAAGAGGAATAAAGTCTCTGTATTTTCTTCTAAATACAGAATCTGCATGGGGACAACTCACGTGTTGTACTGTCGGGGTGCTTTTGAATATTGATGAAGTAGGATGGGACTGGCAGAAATGAACATTTCCTGTTAATCAGGAGCCGAAGAATTGTGGAGGATGGCGTTTAACGGCTTGTACTCGTGGAGTGCCGTCTTGCATTAAGGGCTAATAACCTTCCTTAGACTCAGCTCAGCTCCCCTCTATCCTCCCCCCGCCTACATCACCGGCACAGTTGTATTTATTATGTGCAGCAAGGCCACGGTGATGAGACGATCAATATTTCTGGGATGATGAGGGAGAACTCATGCAATCTCTCTCTTTCTGTTCCTCCCTTGGCAGTGCTTCAGCAGGTAGAGAGATCAGAGCCGAGAGGACCTCTGAGATGCTGTTGGAGGGGAGACTGATGAAGTCCTCTGTGCTGTGTGTCCTCTAAACACACACACTCCATCACACTGTCCTATGTCCTTGCTACGTCCTGATTAAAAATGTTGACCTGATGTATTTTATCTCGACAAGAATTAGTGTTATCGCACTTATTCTGCTGCTGTGTTTGCAGATCTAAACATATCCGGCCTCAGTCGTACTGGAAATTGAAAAATCGTGTATCCATGGTGAATAATAAGGTGCCCTTTTGGAAACTTGTCTTGGGAAGACATATTTCTCTGTTAAGGGGATCGGTGTGGATTATAAATTGTATTCATTTCAATTCAAGTTGAACATTATTTTAAGAGGACATTTAGACAAAGGTCATCCAACACCTTCTTCCGTGTTATTTTTTTACTAATTCGCCTAAAGTCTTTCCCACCATTTTCTCTCTCTTCGATGTCTAACTATTTTCTATTATTTTATCCATAGGTAGTTGTTATTAGTTGTAGTTTCTGAGAAATCATGTTTTCCACATCATTTCCTTCAGACGACAGGTCTCAAAACTACAATACTGGGCAGCGGTTGCCATGGCGAAGAGCCCAGTCACAATCACAAGTTCAATACTATGCTACAGTATACCTGTGTATGCTTTGCTGAATAGAAACCACCAGAAGTGCAATGTTAACCCCCAACCCCAGAGCCCCCACCTCCTTGAAAGAAAATAAAAATAAAATGGTATTACCTCATTTCAGTCAGACAACTCACGTGTTTCTTTAACATGTTTATTAGAAGCAGCATATAGTTGAGTTTGGCGTCTAGGCTCGGGCCTCATCACTCCACAGATATACATAGCCCCCCGAGCCTACAGGTGGAAGCTGGGGTGGAAGCTGGGGTGGTGGTGGTTCAGGCAAGCAGCAGCGACGTGGAAGTAGCTGCAGCAATAGCAGCAGCAAGCAATGCATAGAGAGATATCTGGCAGGTTAAATAGAGCGGCATATCAAGGAGACTCTGGTTGGTTGGTTGTAGACTGGCAAGGGGCGTTATGTATGAATGCAGCATAAGTGCTCGAGTTGACTGCCTGAACTAGCTCGCAGGCTTCGCCCTATTCATGTTTTCAATTCAATTCAAGGCTTTATTGTAATTTGCACATTAGCTACAGTGTAGATATGGCAATGAAAAACGTAGGTTACAGGCTCCTCCAACAGTGCGACATGTTTTACACTTGTACCTGTGCATGCAGGCATTCTGAAATGTACCCGCGGTATTCTGTCAGGAGATGCAGTTACTTAAATCAACTAATATTAGAAGAGCTGTGGGTAAAGAACAGGTTGTTAGCCGCTAGGCTAATTTATGCAGTCAAAAATGCCTTAAGCTTAAACCAACAGTCGGGATTAACCCCATGCATTCGCCCCTCCCCCTCCAGGTAGGCCCATTCGGGCCCCCCTGTTAGTCGAATCCCTAACGTAATATAATCTAGTGAACTGATGTTTCTTGCTCGAATTCACCTCGGTAGCCATAATTAACATCTCTCCAAGTTTTAATGTATCCAGGGATGTACTCAAGACCTTTTATCTAAGAACCAGATATTTCCTAAGGATGTTCTTAATGTTATTTATTGATCATTTAAGCGGGAGAATTTAATGCTGATCCGCGCTATAGAAGAGCTCTAAATGTGAGTAAAGTGATATTAGCTGTGGGAAAAATTCCAGCACCAGGGGTGCCAGAAAAAGCTTCTCTCACTTTGCAACTCGTTAATGTTCAGTTTTAGTTGAAACTGTTTTGGAGAGGTGTTTATTCAACTTAATGGTCATTTTGTAGGCTGTAGTTTGCGGGGCCATTTCATTTTATAGCATTATACTGACAGGTGTTTCCAATATTTTGTCACTGATATACTGTAAATAGGTTTTATTGATGGAAGTGGAGTGAATATAAATGGGATGGAATACATGTTATCAAAAGCTCTGTGTATAAGGCGATACAATTAAACAGCACATCAAATACAGCCTTTTAAATGACCATAACGTTTGATGAACACTTTTATAGAACAGTTTTTTAACAAAAGCTGAATCGTATAACTTATATAGGTGGAAGTTTTTGTTATGTAATGTAATTTAATTAAATGGTTAATATATGTTTTTGTAGGTGTTATTTGTTGAGTGGTTTGTACTCTGATAAAGGTCCACCTAGGTTCAAGTGTTTCACTGTAGCTGAGCCTATAAATGCTGTGGTAGCACTGGTCGATACTTTACACTTGTCTTTTATGAAAAATATACAGGAGAGAATAACTTTCAACAATATAGTTCATATAGTCTTTGAAAAGGATATGGCAGAGTCGTCTGCTAGGTTTTCAGCTCCTGCTAGAAAGGAATCCCGTTGAGCAGGGAGGGACTTTGTTAGCTTGACTCTTCTACATTTTGACACCTTTGCCAGCCCTTAGCCCCCAGCAATGCATGCCTTTTAGTCCCCAGATTGGATATGGATGGCTTTTCATGTATTATCACTTAGCAGGTGCTCACTGCACCCGAGCCGAATTGTCCACCACACACATGTAAGTGGTGTGGTCTCAGTGAGAGTGGGTTTACCTGACATGTTTACAAAATGTACTGTCGGTGGACTTTCACAACTTCCACAGGCAGGCTCTCCATAGCTCCATGTCTGCCGCAAATAGGGAAAGCTGCCTAGCGATAACAGCACCTCCAGGAACGTCAGGATTGCTTTCTCTCAGTGGTTAGTGGCCTTCCAACGACTTGTGATACATTATAAATCATTTACACAGTCATTTTGGAATGCAATATCCTCCTCTAAATGCTGGCTTTTCTTCTCCATTGTTATTAGAATGAATACTGCAGTAGGCGCACAAGGCTGAGGGGGACCCTTTAGCCACAGAAATTGAGAATTGATCAGACAGTGTGGGAAGGTGTTGTCCCTGACACCACTGGTTCACCATGGGACTCTTTATTAGCATTTTAAGCGCTGTCAGTTAGCTGTGCAGCCTGTAGCCTCATCCTCCTCTGGTTCTTCTCCTGTTCATCCCAAAAAGAGATCTCTTGGAACTGCAAACAGGGGAGATTACATTTAAATTGTATCTTGTTCATATCTCTACCGAAGGGAGGTGTAGGGAAAAGACTGCATGACATTAAGCCCGGGCATGACATTTTTATCATGTTATTATGTTTCTGTGACTCCTGCTCTTGGATTTTAGTTATGTTTTCCTAGTACATGAAACTAATCTTAAAGTAATTGTTCACAAGTTCCTTGTTGTCTGTTGTCCATACTGTACATTTTGTACAGGCTTTGCAGGCTAGAATCAGTGTTTACTTTCAGACAGGCCTTTAAAATATCTCACCACTCAGTTTCTTTTGGTTGCAAAATCCCTTCTTTTTTTTTTACTATTACTTATTTTACTGCATCTAAACAGAGGAACACTGTTTGGTAAAAGTTCAACTCAAAAGGATGTAACTCTGGATGATACCCACTTGATTTGACTCCGACTGCAGAAGCCTCATATCAGCTTCACATAAGCTTTTCAATACATTTTTCTGCAGCCCAAGGACTGTGTATTTCCCCCCTATCACTTCCATTGTAAGCATTATGAGAGAAGGTATTTTAAAGCTTAGCATAAACACTAGGAATGATAACATCAATCAAAACCTCTTTTAGTGTTCTTACGGACATCTGACATTTGTTTTAAGCCAGATTTAAAGAAAAATTGTCCATCTATCCGTACATGTTGGCCTTTGAAGTAAAGAATAATTACCCACTGATAGTTGATGCCTTTCACATTTTACTTGTCCTAGTGGAATTATTACGCACATATTGAGAAGTTGCCCAGCAGTTAATTGCAATATCAAGCTAAAGGCAGGTTCTTGAATTTGTGGATTGATGATAACAGAAAGAGCTCTGTCATGTTTATGTGAGCTGTTTTATGTCATGCCAGAAAGGGACTCCACAAGTCAATCAAAATGAGTGAATAAAATGGGATTGAACCGGTGGGCTGTCAGGGAGATGTCATTAATTGTCTTGTCCTCTTCTCTTGCAGCACAGGATAGAAGATAGAAGAGAACGTTGAATGAGGACTTCCGTGCGGAGAGGCATCTGTGACCGTTTCTCCTCGTCTCTAAGTCGGCGGGCTCCAGTATCGCAGCTGATGACTGTCCCTCAGGTGGCTGGACTGCAGGGCTGAGCGGAACGTTTTTTTTCGCTGAGGGGGGTGCCCCGGCTTGTATGTTGGTCACTTGCAGTTGCACTCACTCACAAGGACCATGTGGTTCTCTCCAAGGAGAAGTCGTCTCCCCTCGCAGAACTGGCACAGTGCCCACAGTTGCACCAATGTGTCCTTGTGGGTGTTGAGCTTTTGTTGGTGTTTTGTGGCCGTGAGAGGTCAGAACTACCACCCAACTGTAAACACGCAGTATGGGAAACTCAGAGGGGTAAGGGTGCCCCTGCCCAGTGAGATTCTGGGGCCCGTGGACCAGTATCTGGGGGTCCCATACGCCGCGTCCCCAGTGGGAGAAAAGCGCTTCATGCCCCCGGAGCCCCCTTCCTCCTGGTCAGGGATCAAGAACGCCACTCACTTTGCTCCGGTCTGCCCACAAAATATTCACAACGCTGTGCCAGAGATCATGATGCCTGTATGGTTCACCTTCAACCTGGATATAGTCACGACTTACATACAGGATCAACACGAAGATTGTCTTTATCTCAACATCTATGTTCCAACTGAGGATGGTGAGTGCGTGGAGTAAACAGGGCCCAACTTTTCCTCCTACTCTTCTGTCTCTGCCTCCTTCTCGCTCTGTCTTTCTTCTTTAATTTTGTGTCACCTCTGTGTTTTGCGCTGAGCATGACCTGTTGTCTGGCGCATGCCGTGTCCGTGTCCATCATCTCAACCTCCCATCTTGACTTGGTCTTTCATTTAGTCTTTTCATCAACTCTCCCCTTCCATGCCACTGTTAGAGGTTCCTCTTTTGATGACTTAATGACTTATTAATATGACTGAAAAAAAAAAGAAAAAAAAAAGAAAGAAATCTAATCATACAAGGAGCAGATTGGAAATACTTGGTGCACCTTCCTACCCTCACTGTCTTGACTGTTCTGGGGATCTTAGCCATTAGTCATTTGTAGCCTGCCTCATAAGTGAATGATCTACTACTGTAGGGTTGGTGAAATATTCTGTCTGGTACACGAGAGGCCTGTGGCATCAGCCTGACCTATGTAAGACCCTTTACTCTCCTTGCTTTATCCAGTTTGTCCTTGCACAAAGCTCAAAGCAGGTTTTGTGCAAAAGGCAAACATAGATTGGGCTCCACCTTGACTAAGATTTCTAGATATTGACTCTTTTTAATGGCACCCATTATTTTGCCACTTTAAGGAGACACACACAGGAAAAAAATGGGCTTGAAATGTTAAGTGCTCTGAGAATCAAATGGGCAATGTCAAATAACACTTTCACTTATCAGATTACAATGCAAACCGCAAAACGTTGGAAATCCAGCCCCTCTGCCTGCTGTGTGGCTGTAATGGGTCTTAAATAGAAGTGCATGTGAATATGGGCTTCCTGTGTCCCAGGATGCAGCAAATTCATTCTACCATGTTGGAATATTTCTGCAGCAACACCCCAGTTACTTTCTCAACAGGTCCTCTGTTGTTCTTGTTGTTAATGATGACTGGGATGGGGGAGGGAAGAGGGTGAAGGTGGGGGGTCTGACTCAGTCTGAGTTGTTGCATGTCACATGCAATCTTTTCCAGAGTTCTCTGTTATTTTGTAGTTTTTCCATTCATTTTACAGTCAAAAGAATATCCAAGGAATGTGCCAGGAAACCCAACAAGAAAATGTGTAGAAAAGGAGGTATGTAAAAAAAAAAAGAAAGCCAACACGGAACGAAAGAAAGGAATTGAAAGAGTGAAAAGGGGAGGAGTGATGGGTGCATCCTTCCAAAGCTGCCAATATCACCACCTATCAACTCCCAAATCAAAGTGCTAATTGAGATGAACGTGGGACTCGTGACTCAGATCAACCTTGACATGAGTGTAAGAGATGAGTAAGTGAAAGTGGTGCGTGTGCGTGTGTGTGCGTGTGTGTGTGTGCATGCTGAATTGTGGTTTTACTACAAGAGTGTGTGAGGCAATGAACATGCCAGTCCCTAAATAAATAATGACGCTTTGTCAAGCAGTAGATCATGATGTCTAAGAATAACATGTATTTTATTTATTTATTTATTTTACATGATTGTATGGCTTTTTCATGTTCAGAGTGGAATACTGTTGAAATCCAACGGTTGATTAAATCAGAAGCATGAGTGCCGCTTTGAAATACTACAAGATAAAACTCGACTTGGTATGCAAAGAACTTAAGTAATGTTTCAGACTGCTCTGACAGCACTTAAGACACCAGCTTATTGGAAGTATTTGTCAAACATGACACCTGAAAGCGTCAGAGCCTCAGCCGTTGATTACATTTCCACTCAAATCTGGAGGGCCACCTCTGTCTTAAATTTATGATTCACAATTGTTCTAATAGGGGGGTGGTGGGGTATTTTATTGGCATGACAGCTTTCATCCATCCATGTGGCAAATACTAAAACACACAGTCATGGAGAGACACAGCCCAATTTCATTAGCTACAGCTAAAGTCTCTGTTGATAACAACAGACGGATCAATCTCTAAGCCTGCCTGAAGGCACTAGGAGACCTTACAAGTTGCCTGAAGACTGTGATCCTGAGCATACCTCGCTCCACAGCAAAGATTCAGTTTCAGCTGAGACCTCGGCTGTTGATTTCCATGGAGGCAGGAAGCAGCTATTGGCCTGACTCTGCTCTCGTACATTCTGCTTTGGTAAACCAATTTAGTTGGAGACAGACTGGCCCTCCAGGCACTTCTGCCTCTGAATTAGTCCCAGTTGTGGAATATACACAGAAATGTCTCTTTAATATTCCCCTTCCACATGGAATTTTTCAATTATCTTCCCCATGTCTGGTAATGAGAAAATGGTTTATCATAAGTTTCATATGTTGGTTTTGTGACACATTATTGTGCAGGAAAATGATTGCTGCATCGTTCTTAATGCACAAACACAAAGGTTGTAATTTTCAGTCTGGCTGGAAACTCTCTTTATTTCAATTGCACCGCTTTTTAAACTGCTTTCTACTAATCTTGGCTTATGTTGAATTAGCGGTGCAAATGAAGCATCATTTATCCTTCCTAGGCAATGTAGCAAGCAAGCTCTGAAGCATACTTTCTTGTTTTTGTTAAATGTTTCCAACGAGGAAGTTAAAGTCATGTTTGACAAGTTTAAAGGGAATTGGGAAACACTTTAACGGTTCATTAAATCTTTTAATTAGTGCCATTTCAACAGTTAGATATCTTCCATAAAATTAGTATTAATAAAATGGGTATATATTTTCTATTTAAAGTTTTGCGATGCTTTCAATAGAGACCTGTTTAATGGAGTAGAGTCATACACACCGTGCATATTCAGTACTAATAACACCTCCACTACCAATTTTACAATCTGTATCTCTATGAATGTGGTTCCTCTGGAGGAGAGAGTGATTAACTTACACAAAGAAGTATGATATTTGACTTCTGATTAAATGGTTGTGTGATTGTTGCCAAGCAACAGTATGCAGTTATGACTGTAGCGGAGGAAATGGCTATCTTACCTAGCGTGAAGCACCTTTGTAGCAATAGTGATTATTTTATGCATGCAACAACCTCCGGGTCTAAAAAGAGAAGCCAATAAAGAAGTACCTTAAACCTGCATTCTCTCTATTATCCAGCAGTCTAAAAGAAGTTGATGGATAGAACATTGTGTAGAAATCTGTAAGAAAATGACTTATTTATAGTTTACTTATTGTCTCCGTACACATTTTCGTGATGAGTTTGTTATCTCAGTAACTAGTCTAACGTTTTTTTTTTTCTTTGCATGTTTCTATTCAGAGAAACATCCTTTAGGGCGTGGCTACCTTGTCATCTATAATCATTAATCATTACATTATTTCAGTCTGTATTTAGTTTATTTAAGTTTATTTTGAGATTTTTGTTGCAGTTTATTTTAACCTAAAACTTTAAAACCGTAATCCAAAAACCCATTGGTGATGCCATTATCACTTCGTCCACCTATTACATACAAGACAGGAGGCTAGTATGTTACCATTTGAACAGTCTGGAGCTTGTGTACATCTCACCCTTTAATGAATTAGAGGAATGGTTGTAAGAATACACTTGAACAAAATCTTGTTTTACAAGAGTTTGAGAGTTATTAAGGAAGTCTGCTTTTCAGATCCTGTGCTATTAGCATCCTACTGGGTATTGTGCAGGGAAACCACTTATTGTGCTGTTATCAAATATGTAGCTCATTTTCCTTCATTAAACAGGGGGAAAGCCCTTAAACTGCACAGCCGTGTCCTGACAAATAATCAGAGAGACTCATTAAAGAAATAATGGAAGGCTCTATTGTAGATGTTCCTATATTCAGTATCGTTTGCTTGTTGTGCAGCTAATTTTGGCTGTGCAAAATCAACAGCCCACTGGTCTTTGTTCAGAAACAAATTGATGTTTACACCAACTAAAAGGCAATTTAGAGAATGGCTGTCCTTTCTTTAGCTAGACTAGCGCAGCACTGCATGTCCAAGATGTCTGAGCAGGTAGTGTGTAACTAGTGTGTAGTGTGTCACTAGTGTGTAGTGGGTAATGTGCAAGATCAGCATCGCAGCCCACTGCTCTCTCTGAAGTCGCCTTATAGTGTGCACACAGGGCACATAGCAGCAGACATTTAAGCCTTGGTTATATCGCTCAGTCATTTTCTCTTTTCTCGGTCGGAGTGAATGGAGTGAAGAGAGGGGTAATGATGTGCGGGGACACAGCTAAGCACTATTCAGCCTCAGAGTGCTAGATTGGCTCGAGATGGGTCAATTTTGTGAGGACAAAGCCTTATGAGGTCAATCTCTTCTTTAAAAGAGGTTTACATTGTAAAACTGATTGACAAACTGTAAAAAGAGATCTATAAATTCACATCCTTCTGATGAGATCCTCATTGAGGCGTTTTGCAGGTTATAAGGAGCACTCACTGTGCTGCATGCTGCCTGTTTATACAATATGAGCATTATTTTCTATGGGGTTTTACAACATCCCGCTTGTAAATAATGTCCTTAGGGTCCTTCACACTGCTCTCGCTGTATAACACAGTTCTGAGATATATATATATATCTGAGATTAACTGTCCTGACTCCTAAATTCATGCCTCATCATGAGTCTATTTGAGATAAGTGCGGCGAAATCTGTTGTACGCTTTGGCTTGATTTGGACCACTTAACTATCATTCTTATGCAGTCCTCACAGGCAGCAGGCTGTCATGTGTTATAGAACCAGTGCCAGTACTGAGCAGCCCTATCAGTTGCCAAACCTGTAGATTAAGTACCCGAACAGAAACACTAGACCATTTTTTCCTCTTACCAGGATGACCTCCAGATGCTAGAGCGCTATGAAAGAGCCCTGATCCTGGTTAGACTGCGTCTAGGCCATGGCACTCAGTTTCACACCATGGTAATCCCGTTCGTTGGCCAACTCACCCCTGCCTCGGGGAAGAAGGGGGTGCTGCAGAGAAAATCTGTACGCCAAGCAGACAGTACAAAAACTTTCCAAGAAGAAAAGAACAAATATTGGCTTGTGCAATTTGAAAAACAGATCAGATGTCCGCTTTTGTTTGACAGAAAATGACTTCCATGAT